TCCCTTCTCACTGGACAAAGAGCCGACATATGCGGTGGTGACAGTTGATGACTTAGATGAGGGGGCTAACGGAGAGATCGAATCTGTTTCCATTGTGGCTGGGGATCCTTTAGATCAGTTCTTCCTGGCCAAGGAAGGAAAGTGGTTGAACGAGTACAAGATTAAGGAGAGAAAGCAGGTTGACTGGAAGAGCTTTTCCTATGGCTACAATCTCACTCTTCAAGCAAAAGACAAGGGGTCTCCTCAAAAGTTTTCAGCATTACAGACGGTTCACATTGCCAACCCCAAAAGAGACACTGTCCCAGCTAGATTTGAAAAAGAAGTGTATGATGTGAGCATAAGTGAGTTTTCCCCTCCTGGTGTTATGGTTGCTGTAGTGAAATTAAGTCCTGAACCGCTCGATGTGGAATACAAATTATCTCCTGGTGAGGATGCAGAATATTTTAAAGTCAATCCTAGGTCAGGTCTGATTGTTACAGCACAGCCACTGAACACTGTTAAGAAGGAGGTTTATAAACTGGAGGTGACAAACAAGGAGGGAGATTTAAAAGCACAAGTCACCATCGGCATAGAAGATGCGAACGACCACACTCCAGAATTTCAGCAGCTGCTGTACGATGCTTATGTGAATGAAAGTGTTCCCGTGGGAACAAGCGTTCTGACAGTCTCGGCTTTCGATAAGGATAAAGGAGAAAACGGGTACATCACTTATAGTATTGCTAGCCTGAATTTGTTACCATTTGCCATTAACCAGTTTACGGGTGTTATTAGCACAACTGAAGAATTGGATTTTGAGTCTTCTCCAGAAACTTACAGATTCATTGTGAGGGCCTCTGACTGGGGTTCACCATACCGCCATGAGAGTGAAGTAAACGTGACTATTCGAATAGGAAATGTCAATGACAACAGCCCTCTCTTTGAAAAAGTGGCTTGCCAGGGAGTTATTTCGTATGACTTTCCAGTCGGTGGTCACATCACAGCTGTCTCAGCGATCGATATTGATGAACTTGAACTTGTAAAGTACAAAATCATTTCGGGAAATGAACTTGGCTTCTTTTATTTAAACCCAGACTCTGGTGTTTTACAGCTTAAAAAGTCACTGTTGAATTCTGGAGTTAAAAATGGTAATTTTGCCCTCAGAATTACAGCAACCGATGGAGAGAATCTTGCAGACCCCATGTCTATTAACATTTCAGTCCTACATGGGAAGGTGTCTTCAAAGAGCTTCAGTTGCAGAGAAACTCGTGTGGCTCAAAAGCTGGCAGAGAAACTGCTCATTAAGGCAAAAGCAAATGGGAAACTGAATCTGGAAGATGGATTTCTTGACTTTTATTCAATTAACAGGCAGGGACCACATTTTGACAAGTCTTTTCCTTCTGATGTGGCTGTGAAGGAGGATCTACCAGTTGGTGCTAACATCCTGAAGATTCAAGCCTATGATGCTGACTCTGGCTTCAATGGAAAGGTGCTATTTACAATAGCTGATGGAAATACAGATAGTTGCTTTAACATCGATATGGAGACTGGGCAGCTGAAGGTCCTTATGCCCATGGATCGAGAACACACAGATCTCTATCTCCTTAATATCACCATCTATGACTTAGGTAATCCACAGAAATCTTCGTGGAGGCTGCTGACCATCAATGTGGAGGATGCTAATGACAACAGCCCAGTTTTTCTTCAAGACAGTTACTCAGTTAACATTCTTGAAAGTTCAAGTATTGGTACTGAGATTATTCAAGTGGAAGCCAGAGACAGAGACTTGGGTTCTAACGGTGAAGTAACTTACTCGGTCTTGACAGATACCCGGCAGTTTGCCATCAATAGCTCAACTGGAATCATTTATGTAGCTGACCAATTGGACAGGGAATTAAAAGCAAACTACTCTTTGAAAATAGAAGCCAGAGACAAGGCAGAAAGTGGTCAGCAACTGTTCTCAGTTGTCACTCTTAAGGTGTTTTTGGATGACGTCAATGACTGCTCTCCAGCTTTCATTCCCAGTAGCTATAGTGTGAAGGTCCTTGAAGATCTCCCCATTGGCACTGTCATCGCTTGGCTGGAGACTCATGATCCGGATCTTGGATTGGGGGGTCAAGTGCGCTATTCTTTGGTCAATGACTATAATGGGAGATTTGAAATAGATAAAGCAAGTGGTGCCATCCGCTTGAGCAAAGAGCTCGACTATGAAAAGCAGCAGTTCTATAACCTGACGGTTCGGGCCAAAGACAAAGGGCGGCCTGTCTCTCTGTCATCTGTTTCCTTTGTTGAGGTGGAAGTGGTGGATGTCAATGAAAACCTCCACACCCCCTATTTCCCGGACTTTGCTGTTGTTGGATCTGTAAAAGAAAACTCACGCATTGGAACCAGTGTGCTTCAGGTGACTGCCCGAGATGAAGACTCCGGGAGGGATGGAGAGGTCCAGTACTCCATCAGGGATGGAAGTGGTCTTGGAAGGTTCAGTATAGATGACGAGAGTGGTAAGTTTAAATTTTGTGCCAGAAGTATTATTTCACCTCTCTTAGATCATTGACATTGGAAAAGTAAAGTGACTGTTAGGGCACTAAAATAGAATTGCAAATGAGGTTGCATTTGGTGCAGAGATGATGCAAGTAAAAGCTTTTTCTTAGAATGTGGTGGTTTGTAAGAAGATCTGTCTATGCAATAATAGCCATGGTTTCCAGTGGGAGTCCCGGTTTTGTTTTTTCTTGCTCAGCACTAGTGGTACCAGGTCATCTTTTCATAAACATAAGTAATTGTCACCTCTGTTGATTGTGCTTCTGACCCTCACTAAATGAAGGGCCCTGATTAAGTAAATTACATTTGAATTGGCTTTAAATTGGAAGTGTGAAATGGATTTTCAAACGGATCTTGTATAGGAATCTTTCCCTTAACAGTAAGGCTTTGCCGATGTGACAGTGCATGAGTTGCTTGGTCTTACATGTTCCATGGGTACATCTGGGCCCTTGAGTGATGGGCATTTGCTCTGTGTATGCTCCATTAATATAAGGAGGTGTGCTTCTACAACGGTTTTCACAATCGAATAGAGGAGGCTTGCTATGAATTTTATGTATAAAAGATTGTTTTTAAGATTTTACTTGTAAGACTTGATTTTTTAATAGAACATTTTTAAATAAAGGGCAAAATCGTCCCAATATTTTCATTGCCCCTGACCTACTTTTTTATTCTCCATCATAGATACAGACATGGATTTTATTCAATATTCGTTATTGTCATTATTTGTCTTTAAATGTACATGTGTCTAGACACACGCATGTCTGTGTTTATTAGCCATGTGCATTTTTTCTAGTCTTTAGATTGTAGACATCTCAGGAGAGGGTCTATGTCTTTTCTGTTCTTGTGTCAATTAGCACTTTAAAGTTTTTATGGCACATTTCTATACATTAAATAATTTTCTGCAACACTCATAGAGTGCTTTGCTCCCTGTCTTAGTCTACTCAGGCTGCTATAACAAAATATCACAGCGTGGGTTGCTTAAACGACAGACAATTATTTCTCGCAGTTCTGGAGGCCGGAAGGCCGGCATTGTCAAGGTTAGGACCTTCATCCAGCTTGCAGACTGCTAACTTCTTGCTATGTCCTCACGTGGCAGAGAGAGGGGGCTTTGGTCTCTTTCTCTTCTTATAAAGGTACTAATCCCATTGTTAAGGCTCTGTCTTCGGGAATCTCATCTCAACCTAATCACTTCCCAAAGGCGCCACCTCCAGCTATCATCATGCTGGGGATGAGGGCTTCAGCATATACATTTGCGGCGAGGGACACAAACATTCAGTTCATAGCAGTCCTGGTGATGATGACGATGGCTAAAACATGCAGTGGGAAGGTGTCATTATAGAGATAGTAAGTGTACATCCATAATACAGGTGTCCCAAAAATCTCCATATGTAGGGAAAATGGGAAATTGTAGATAAATGTACCTGTATTTACAAAATATTCATTACAAAATTTTACAGAATTTTTCCTTTGTAAAAATTTTGTGAAAGTTCTTTAGCATACAAAGGAAACATTTTGTAATGAATTATTTTGTAAATAAAAGTACATTTACCTATAATTTTCAATTTTCCATATGAATGGAAATTTTTGGGACACCCTATACTAGAAAAAAGGATTTGAGAAACTGTATTAAATATTGGATAGGAAAAAAAAACTGTACCTTCTCAAATTTAAACTATAATTTTTGTATACATAGGCTCTATTTATGGCCAGCATAAATTGTAAAATTGATCTCCATAGCCACAATGAAGGAAAAAGTAAATGTCAGGAAAATTCAGTCCTGATTTAGCCACATACTGTATTTTATTATATATCCCTTGTAATTTTCTTGGAATATATTTCTACCTTTGAAGTACAAAATGAGAAAGAAAGGGAATTAACCTTTACCGAGTGCCTACTCCGTGCTAATACCTTACTACTAAGAATAATGACTTCATTGAGAACTTATAATGTGCAATACACTGTACAAAGGATTTTATAGTTGGGTCATCTTATTTAATTCTTCCAATGGCCCCATGAGTTGGGAATAATAATAATCTGTTCATGAATTGAGGTTCAGAGAAGACATACAACTTGGAGCCTAGTTTCAGACTTACCTCTACATAACTGCTGTGAACTATGCTCTCTCCCATCTAAAGACAAGTGTGGGATTCCTTGCATGTTCCCAAGTACACTTAAATTTGGTGTTGATCTAAAATCTGCAAGCCAATAAAGTGTTGAAGAGTTTTCAAAGTCCTTACAACCCTGGGTTCATTGACTGATATCACTGACTATTGATTACCCTTCCTGTTTTCTTTATAGGCCCATTGTCTGTGTGCCTCTCCAGGGATTGAGCTTAGCTTTGCAACTAGGGTAAATGGGAGTGGGTAGGTCAACAGGAAAATGTCAAGCTGAATCCTTCACCACTGCTATCTAGATGACTACATCAGCCGC